CTGATTTGGGGTGGTTTTGATGCTGATTTTGGGCCCGATTTGGGGTGTTTTTGGGGCCTGATTTGGGGTGTTTTTGGTGCTGAATGAGGGTGTTTTTGGGGCCTGATTTGGGGTGGTTTTGATGCCGATTTTGGGGTCATTTGGGGTGTGTTTTGGGGCCGATTTGGGGTGTTTTTGGGGCCTGATTTGGGGTGGTTTTGATGCCGATTTTGGGGTCATTTGGGGTGTTTTTTGGGCCCGATTTGGGGTGTTTTTTGGGCTGATTTGGGCTGTTTTTGGGGCAGGCCGTTCCCCCCAGGACAATCTGGTGCCCTGTGACGTGCTGCTGCTGCGGGGCCGCTGCATCGTGGACGAGGCCATGCTCACCGGCGAGTCCGTGCCCCAGATGAAGGTGAGGGGGGGAAAAGTGACCCCAAAGCTCATCCCAAACCCCCTCCCAAGGGTCATTCCCTGTTTTCCAGGAGCCAGTGGACGACACGAGCCCAAAGCTCATCCCAAACCCCATCCCAAGGGTCATTCCAAGGTTTCATTCCCTGTTTTCCAGGAGCCTGTGGAGACCACGATCCCAAAGCTGATCCCAAACTCCTCCCAAAGCTGATCCCAAACTCCTCCCAAAGCTGATCCCAAACTCATCCCAAACCCCATCCCAAGGGTCATTCCAAGGTTTCATTCCCTGTTTTCCAGGAGCCTGTGGAGGACACGATCGCAAAGCTGATCCCAACCCCATCCCAAAGCTGATCCCAAACTCATCCCAAAACTGATCCCAAACTCCTCCCAAAACTGATCCCAAACTCCTCCCAAAGCTGATCCCAAACTCCTCCCAAAGCTGATCCCAAACCCCTCCCAAAGCTGATCCCAAACCCCTCCCAAAGCTGATCCCAAAGCCAATCCCAAGGTGTATTCCCTGTTTTCCAGGAGCCAGTGGAGGAGGCGAGCCCGGATCACATCCCAACCCCATCCCAAAGCTGATCCCAAACTCCTCCCAAATCTGATCCCAAACTCCTCCCAGAGCTGATCCCAAACTCATCCCAAAGCTGATCCCAAACTCCTCCCAAAGCTGATCCCAAACTCCTCCCAAAGCTGATCCCAAACTCATCCCAACCCCATCCCAAGGGTGATCCCAAGGTTTCATTCCCTGTTTTCCAGGAGCCAGTGGAGGACACGATCCCAAAGCTGATCCCAACCCCATCCCACATCTGATCCCAAGGGTTATCCCAAGGGTTATCCCAAGGGTGTTTCCCTGTTTTCCAGGAGCCAGTGGATGACACGAGCCCAAAGCTGATCCCATACTCATCCCAAACCCTTCCCAATGTGATTCCCTGTTTTCCAGGAGCCAGTGGAGGCCACGATCCCAAAGCTGATCCCAACCCCATCCCAAAGCTGATCCCAAACTCCTCCCAAAGCTGATCCCAAACTCCTCCCAAAGCTGATCCCAAACTCCTCCCAAAGCTGATCCCAAACTCATCCCAAAGCTGATCCCAAACTCCTCCCAAAGCTGATCCCAAACTCATCCCAACCCCATCCCAAGGGTCATTCCCAAGGTTTCATTCCCTGTTTTCCAGGAGCCAGTGGAGGACACGATCCCAAAGCTGA